GTTTCGAATTCTGACATGTAAAAGCTACCAATAATTGTTTTACTGGGCGAAATAATTAGTTATTGTGATTATGTAAATCACGTTGAAAGCAAACGTCGATTAATAAACTAATAATAAACTTAATTAAAATCGTTGCGTTAACACTTTGTAATTAAAAGCCGAAATCTTTCTATTAATCATCGGTTTGGCCAAAAAACAAAATTAACGATTGTAGAAGAAGTGTGCACACGCATCGATTGCCATCAATCATAGTCCCATGACCGAATCCTGTAAATCTTTGAAGCGTTTCACACCTGATGCTCCTGCTTCGATTTCTACAATGGTTAATTCATCAAGAATAACGGAAAAGTGGCCCATCGATATCGCATGACCGGAAATAATAAATTTTAAGGTTGGTTGTTGTTGTGTTGCGATAACGTTGCTTTTTGTTTGTTTTCTCAAAGATTTAATTAGTTATGTTTAGTTTCAGTTGGGAGAATTAAAGACGAGTTATAAGTTGGTTCGAATTAATCTAACTTACCTGATTTCCCTCCAGATCTTGTCTGAATAATAACTTAATGCACTGTGTAATAATTTTCAAGTTTCTCAATCGATAGTTTCGATGTAAACACATTTCAATCAGCGATTAGGAAAGTTTAGTATAAATCTAATAATTCGAGTGCATCTTTTCGCGGTATAAATCACCTTGAGGAGTAGATTCAATCGGTACGTTGAAAAATCCTCTTTAATTTGCAGCAGCCTAACCTCAGGCGAGAGCCGAGCTATCCAAAGCTCAGCCCATAAATTACTAACACTGAGACGTACCAAGAGAAAGAAAAAAATCCACCGATTCGATCGTAGATTCGACAAAAAGCCCACAGATGAGACCACCAATTCGGATTAATCCCGACGTCAACAAGTTTAATTAACGTTGCAAAGAAACAAAATATTTATGCATGTAATATTAAGATAAACGATTCTGGCGGTGATATTCAATAAAGTCGATTCTGTCGCATAAATTTCAGATTTGTAATAATTTGGATTGACTGACGCCATCCCATTATTATTCATTAGAGTGTCAGCAGGAACAGAAAATCACCACTTTTCGAATAGCAATCAGTTTTTAAAAGTGCATTTGTGAGAAATCATTACCGCGGGAATTCCAGGAATTTTCAGTATCGACCTTCTTTGTTTGGAGATCAAAGAGATGAAAAAATACGACTTGGCAATACAAATCCTTGTAAATGATGCTCTCTAAGGCGGAAATCAAACAATATCGAGTCGGATTTCAGGATTGATTGATTAATTTTTTTTGTGATACAAGTCTATTAAAATAACATTGCTGATTGGAAGATCAAATTCGCTAATAATAAGGCTCAATTTTTGTTTTTTTTTGAAAAAATCCAAGGCCTGAAGCTTTGCACTAGATAAGCTATTGATTGGATAACCCCGCTTTTCCCGACTCTAATTGAAAATAATATCAGTAATCTTGACAAAAAGAGATCTTTATCGTCTCTCCGCATTCACAGATTTAATGATTTTTTTTCTCTCTTCTATTTTTGCCCGGATTGTTTTAGAAAGAAGCCTAGACACAGATATGTAGGTCAAAGTTTGCATCCGAAACGTTCCGTACTAAATCGCATAAATCTGCTCTTATTTACATAATAATGAGGGTGTTTTGTCTTTGTTTCTTTAAGAAAAATGATTGTTAAAAGGAGCAACTTAGAGCTACTCTAACGAAATGAAGTAGCGGGACCGAATTTATGAATTTTTTTGAGTTTATCACAAGGAATTTTTAGTGACAAAATCGATTGGTTTATTTTGGTAAAGAAATATGAGTCACATTATTTTTGCCGGTATTGTATTTGCTGCCAAGATAAACGCTCTTTTATTATTTATTTGCTAAGTGAATAAATAGAGATAAAAAAGTGACAATAAACGGTGGTCTATTTATTTAACGATGCTTTCTATTCATTTCATTAGTAAATGGATTATTTTTTGATGAAATTTAGGTTTGAGTAGAAACAAATTAATATTATCGTATGTGGTGAGCTTAAATTTCATGTAAATAACTTGTGTTAGTAATTTGCGTTATTATTTGATACATCAATATTTCACTATCATTAGGAACATCAGATAGATTTTGTGTACCTAATCTAAAATGGCATTCATGTTTGATGTTTCAATACTGTACATACATTAGTCATACATTTTATATCCCTAATTAATTCAGTCGAATTTGTGCACAAAAAATTTTGTTAATGTGGGCCATTGTGAAATATCGATTACTCCTCAACCCGCATAAACCCTAGACACTCGAAAATTAATTATTACGATAGTGTTCTCAATTCTCCAGTCGACTGTTACAACATTGACGTGTATTAAAAAAAATTAATTATCATAATTCGTAAACATTTCGTACGTAAATAACTCAATTTGAACCTTGATTGGTTTTTTACCAAGCTCGAAAAACGTTCAACTCATTTCCCAAATTTTTGCTTAAAAGATTTCTCAGTACGCTTCGTTGAATCACACGAAATAAAAATCTTATTAAAAGTAATGGAAAAGTCGCCATCTTTTAAACTCTTTTTTCAATTCAGATTCTCACATGAATTAACTTGTCAAACCATTTTATCTAATGTTTATTTCCATGATGTAGGTTTTAGCCTTGGCCTTGCGACAACACTTGAAAAAACTATTTTGCATCTTTATTTATAATTGAAGTTGAAACAGTTGCATAAAATGCTCATTGTGACACCGAAATAGAAAAAGTAATAATCCATATTAAAAGTTGGAAAGTGTAACATCTCAACTTTATTCGACAACGAAAACTCATAACTCATAAAAATTGGTTGTTTAGTTACGATAGCTCATGTAGGGTCCAAAATACAAAAACAATGAGATTTTTTTTTTAAAAACTAATAGCTTACCAAAATTTAGACCCTCAGCAATTTTCAATAATATTAAACAGTTTTTTGATTTTTTATTAACAATCAAAGATTCAATGCAATTTTCCTCCAAACTGTTACTATAGTTTTCGTTGGGAGAGTCGATATGTCATAATAATAAAAATTTGATAAATTTTTTATTGGTTTTCTGCTCTTTGAGAAGAATGAATAAAATAGTATATTATCTTGGTGTTGTACCTCGGCTTATTGCTAACTGTCTTGGTAAGGAACCACCTCCCACCTCGATATGTAATCTACTATTTTCATTAAATTGATTGATTTTAATATGAGGATAAAAGTTTGAAATAAGTAAAATTATTTGTTATGAAGGTATTCTTTTCTATGGTAATTTCAAGATATGCAATGTTAAAAAAATTGAGGCTATTCTAAAACATCTATTCTGGAATTTTGAAAAAATCTAATAAAGACATTAGTGCTTTTAAATAATTATTTAAATGTTTTAAAATATGCATAATTTATATTTTTTTATTTCAATTTTTTTAATACTGACAATTTCTTTTAAAAAAACTACACTGACCAAAAAAAACCGTTTCGTCAAGTCATTTATAATGTTGCGCTTATTTATTATTTTTGAAACTTAAAGATAAATTTAAATTCTTAATAAAACTAACATTTTTAATTCCATTTAAATTTTAATTCCATCAAAATGCTATTTGTTTCACACGTACGTTCAATCCTCGAATATGGTTCGATAATCTGGAATCCGCATTACAAAATTCATGTTGGTAGGCTTGAAGCAATACAGTTTAAGTTTTTTTTAATATATAAAGTGGTTGCTGCCTTATTACGTGCAAGATAATTACAATATTTCCTTAAATTATATGTCTCTTTCTACACTTGAAATTAGAAGAAGATATCAGGCTTTATGTTTTGTTTATAAACTTTTAAATAATTTGATTAATGATACTTCAATACTAAATTTAATTAATTTTCACGTTCCAGAGTATAATAGTAGATCGAACCAATTATTCAAAATTTTGTTTGCACACAATAATTATCTGTTTAATTCTCCTCTAAATGATCTTTTAAGAATTTGTAACATGTACAGTGTCAAGTTGGACTTTTTTAATTTTAAATCCTTTAATAGTTTCAAGCGTTTTCTAAAAGTTTCGTTGAGTTAGTCATTTAGTATTCTTTAATTATTTTTATATGTGATTTGTTTTCTATTATAATTTTATCATTACTTAATGTAAAGGATATTACCGTTAAATAAAGTTATTATCTTATCTTATCTTATTTAATTGTTATTGAAAAAAAATGTTCAAATTTTTTTATTGTCTATTAGACTTTTACACATCAAATTATATTAATTTTGTGTTTATAAGTACGTTTTTTTTGATGTTTTAAAGCTCATGCGATGAGAAAACACATTTGTTTTTTGAATTCAAATAAAGATCATAATTTTGTAACAAGTTTTGAAAAAAGTGTGTCACCTCTCGCGGACTTACTCTAATATTTTAATTAAATGGAATTTTTTTTTCATTTAATTTTTTTTAATTACTGACAATTTGTTTTACGAAAAACTACACACTGACCAAAAAAAACAGTTTCGTCAAGTAATTTATAATGTTGAGCTTATTTGTTATTATTAAAACTTTGAGATACAGTAATTAAGATTCTTGATAAAACTAATATTTGATTATTTGTTTTTAAATTGTTGAAAATTTTACATTTTAAATTTAGTTCTTTTCTATTAGACTTTTACACATCAAATTATATTAAATTTGTGTTTATGAGTACGTTTTTTTGTTGTTTTAAAGCTCATGTGATGAGAAAACCCATTTGTGGTTTGAATTGGAATAAAATAATAATTTTATAACAAATTTTTAAAAATGTGTGTCACCTCCACCCACAAACCCTAATATTTGAATTAAATGGATTTGAAATTTTTTCATTTAAATTTCTTTAATTAACTGCCAATTTCTTTTAAGAAAAACTACACACCAGTTTCGTCAAGTAATTTATAATGCGACACTGGTCAACACTTGAAAAAACAATTTTGCATTTGTATTTATGATTGAAGTTTTTGTGTTTGTGTTATGTTTTGCTTACCTGACACTTGGGATATTGTTCGTCTGGAGTGCGCTCGACCTTCCAGCCGAGCAACGGAGGGATGCATATGAGGGCGGAAAGAACCCATACGGCGGCTATCATGACCACGGCACGTACCGGAGTGCGCTTCTTGAGATATTCGACCGCTTGAGTGATACTCCAATAGCGATCTAACGAGATGAGACACAAGTTCATAATGGACGCCGTGCTCAACAGCACGTCCATAGCAGAATGCACATCGCACCACCACATCCCGAAAATCCAATAACCCATGAGTTCGTTGGCGAGCGAAAAGGGCATAATCACCAATCCTAGAAAGAAATCGGCAACGGCAAGCGAAGCAATGAACCAGTTTTGTATATTCTTCAATGCCTTCTCCGTGGTGATGGCAATAATGACCAGCATATTGCCAACGACGACGACGATCATGAGCATTGTGACGACGACAGAGGCGATGACAATCTGCGGAAGGGTGTATCCGCTGGGATAGTGGAGGGCGACGGTGGCGTTGGTGGCGGTGCCGTTGAACAACGTCGCATTGTTGTTGTTGTTGTTTTCCACTTGGAAAAGAAAGTCCTCGACGGCTTCGGCCGGCCGTGCCGTCAAGTTGGTGAGCGCCATTTGGTCCCTAATCACACAATATGTACAATACCCGTGTACCCGAAGCAGCCCGTGTGTCGGCGATATAATGTGAAACGCAACAAGTTTTAAAGAGAATTAGAGAAAGAATCGCACTAGCTAGTTTAGAATATGATGGGGAGCCGAGGCCGAAGCGGCGGCGGCGGCACGGCCTCTTCGTCGTCGTCCTCGGCGGAGCTTTCGACTCGGAGCTCGCTTATTGGCATGTTACCGCCTTGCTCCACGACCGCACACTGTGTGAGGTCTCCTCCCGGAGCCGGGCATGCGTCCCCGTCTCTACAAAGAGAACACAGGCACAGGCCCGAGCCTAATTACGGATTTCTTCTTCACTTCGCATACAAACGACGACAACACAACCAAAATAAATATACTACAAAAAACACAACAATAGACAATTTCACATTTTTACTATACATACAAATTAAATGTCAAGGCTGCGACCTTTAAAATTTCCCTAATCATCACTTTACTTTTTATGTAAAAGAATAAATTTGGTAACTCTATTAAACATTCAGTAAAAAGCTGCTTCGCAGATTTAATTATAATATTTTAATCAGAAAACTAGTTGTTGGCACATTTTTTACTTTTATTAACAGCATATTTCTCATGAAATCTACAAAATGGAAAAATTCTGTTTTTTCTAACATGTATCTACTAGCAGTGAAGATGAAGAGATACATGCCGAAACTTACAATATAAAATATAAAAACAATTTAAAATAACATTTCTTGTTTTATTTTGAGTAATAATACTATATTAAAAAACAAGTCTGTCTGTAGACAGCATATCTCGAGAATGATAAGAGTTAGAAACTTGAAATTTGGTATGTAAGTTACTTGTAGGAAAGGGATGCAGCACGAAACAAGTGGTAAAAATCATTCGTACCGTACAATAAATTCATGGGGATAAAAATTATATAAAATCATGAAATATACTTTATGAAAGAGTAAAATGTGATAAAATAAAAATAATAATGGGTATCGAACTAAAAAAATTGCACCCCAGCCTCAAACCCCGGACAACTATGATCTATTTCGCATGTAATCTGGCAGGTGGCACTAACGCAAAAGTTAGGTTTGCTACTCGGATTTCCAACACTAAATTATTGTCGTAAGGATGTTTTCCAAATAAGTTGGATAAGGAAAGTCGTGTGATGTTCACACCAGATTTTTTTTATTGAGCGCTTTTTAAATTCAATTTATTATTGCATTTGACAGTTAAAAGTTTTGACATTTGACGTATGCAGTACCCAAATTGCTCTAAAGTAGCTTAAATTGCATTAAAACAGTGTAAGTAGAAACAGTGTAAATAGAAAAAGTAATAATCAAATTACCTTGCATATTAAAAGTTGGAAAGTGTAACATGTCAACTTTATTTAACAATTGATAAGAAATTTACAGTTCAGGTTGGGAAATGGCCACTTCCCAACTTAAACTGTCATATCGATTCTCCCAACGAAAACTATAGTAACTCGTAAAAATTGGTTGTTGAGTTACGATGATTCATGTAGGGCCCAAAATACAAAAACAATGAGATTTTTTTTTGAATAAACTAATAGCTTACCAAAATTTAGACCCTCAGCAATTTTTAATAATATTAAACAGTTCTTTGATTTTTTATTAACAATCAAAGATTCAATGCATTTTTTCTCAAAACTGTAACTTGTGAGTTACTATAGTTTTCGTTGGGAGAGTCGATATGTCATGATATTAAAAATTTGATAATTTTTTTATTGGCTTTCTGTTCTTTAATAAGAATGAATAAAATAGTATATTATCTTGGTGGTCGTTGCTTCATTGTTCCTCGGCTTATTGCTAACTGCTAACTGGTAATGAACCACCTCCCACCTCGGTATGTAATCTACTATTTTCATTAAATTGATTGATTTTATTATGAGGATAAAAGTTTGAAATAAGTACAATTGTTTGTTATGTTGTTATTATTTTCTATGGTAATTTCTACTTAGATATGCAATGTAAAAAAATGAGGCTATTCCAAAACATATATTCTAGAATTTTGAAAAAATCTAATAAAGACATTAGTGCTTTTAAATAATTATTTAAATGTTTTAAAATATGCATAATTTATATTTTTTTATTTCAATTTTTTTATTGATGACAATTTCTTTTAAGAAAAAATACACACTGACAAAAAAAAACCGTTTCGTCAAGTTATTTATAATGTTGAGCTTATTTATTATTATTGAATCTTAAAGATAAAGTTATTTAAATTTTTAATATTTAATAGTTATTTAAAAAAAAATGTTTAAAATTTTACATTTTAAATTTCATATTCAATTACTGTCTATTGGACTTTTACACATCAAATTATATTAATTTTGTGTTTATAAGGATGTAGTTTTGTTGTTTTAAAGCTCATGCGACGAGAAAACCCCTTTGTGGTTTGAATTGGAATAAAATAATAATTTTATGACAAATTTTTAAAAATGTGTGTCACCTCTCCCGGACCCAATTTATTTTAATTAAATGGATTTGAAATTTTTATTTTCTGGCTAATATAAACCTATTAAGTTTCTATTTTAATTTTGATTCTTTAATAATAACTAATTTTAGTTTGAAATGAAAGCACTTGTTGAATAATTTTTTCAACCCGACATTTGTTACGCCCCTGATCACTTAGAAAAACAGTCAAATGAAAGCAAATTGAAACACAAATTTTATTCGCACTCTTAAGTAAACAAAAAAATAAAAATTGAAATATTGTGGCAACAAATTTGACATTTATTTCTGCTTTCAGTGTTTTTTAAATTGCTCATTTGCCCGATATTGACTCGATGCTACAAAACACGAAAGCCACTTTTTCCCCAGCTCATCCATTTTCTTTCCCAGTGAATGATCTAAAATAGTCAAAAATATGTTTGTTGCGTTCGCATGAAATTCCATCAAGGTCTCGCGATTCTCTCAAAAGATAAAATATCGTCGAAACACAAATGTTGCCATTGAATGGAAATTTTTTTTCTCTCTATCTTTCAAATCGAAGCGTGGCCATTGACACGACGATGTTTTGACAGTTGCTTCCCGATTTTTCTTTTCCCAACACGCAAAATGCCGATCGTCGGATATTGAAATATTCTACAGGGCCGTAAAATTTGATGTGAGCTCGTAAAATACATGTAAAATAGAAATTTCACCATCAATAATGGATGATGACAGTTAATGACTTGGCTGGAATTGTTGGTGTAATCTTACTCGTTTTAATTTAATGCGACTGTCATTATGAATAAAAAAACGGGAGGAAATACATCATCATTAATTCGGTCATTTGAAACGTGCTTTATCGGTCAGTGTTACCAACTATTCAGTGCTTTATGTCGAAAGCTCCGCTTGAAAAAATAAACACAGTTCGTATTGAGACTGAAAAGGCTGAGTTGCCTCAGGCTACAAGACGTGGCAACTAAGCCAATACTGAAACTGAAAGTCCAACATCCGTTCGACAATTTCTGATAAAGTAGTATTTTTTCAGTTTCTACAGGATGTTTGTGCTAAACTTGCACTAAATTGGTTTGTGTTTTTAAAAATATCAGCCGCAGGTGTTGTAAAAATAGAAAAAAGCCAATTTACGTTTTATTGGGATGGGATTTTTGTTTAAGAGAGTCTTTGCTGCGGTCTTTTGTGTCAATAGCGATTTGCTCTTTCAACGGCAATAAACGTCTACGTTTAAAAATTAAATAGATGTCGCAGCCATTCTTGAAATGAAATTACTTCGACTCAATACAAAGTTTCGTAACTAGTTTTTAAAACGTTTTAAAGTCGCTTTTATTCCCGTATGCATCATCTCGAAGAAGATAAAGTTGATCATTAATTGTGAAAGTTTGTTTGGGTAAAAAATGGTGGCTAATTAAGTAAGGCCGCCCTCGCAATTGGAAAAATTGCGTCGCTTTAGGATGCAAATTTATCAAAGAAATTAATTAGGGTTAAATCCGGCATAATTCCGGACAAAACTTGTCTTAGAAGAGCAATTAGAACATCACTGACATGTTGCATGCACATAATTAGTAAACGTAGCTCGATGATGGAATTCCATTCCCAATTATAAATTGTGACCCGAGCGAGAATCCGGGATCGGTTGTGCCGGAGGCGGTCAAATAGGCATAGCGAATTTCAACATTGTCAAATCGATAACACCACCAAGGCGACACCCTTCCTATTACATATACAACGACGATCAGGACAATAACACACATATGCCGAATTGAATGAAGAGCGATTGAATTATGAAAGGACCTATTTGCTAGGTTTGCATGTTTTATGGACATGCCCCAAAGCTAAAGTGCTGACGTCACGGGAACGACGTCATTGGGATAGGTCGCAGGGAATTGGGACAATCTTTCATTTCAACTTATTCAAAACTTTTAACTCAATATAACGGCGAGTTTTAAACAAGTTTCGAGTCCGAGACATCACAAAACTACTTATTAGAAATTAGAAAAAAAATGTTTTATTTTTGACGCGCTGAGGGAGAGTGATTTACTGGCAAAAAATTCAAAGCAAAAACCAATGTTCATAAAATACGTATTAAACAAATTATTTATGCACTAAATATAAAAAATACAAAATAACAAAGAACCAAAGACACTTTTGTGTAAAATGTTCGTTGCGAAAACATGTTTTATTCTAAAAATTTTAATGCTCAAAAACAAAAAGTGAGTAACAGGTTCGCAGAAGCGAAAGGAGGTACTTAACACGTCCCACCTCAAACGTCACATTTCCAGACTCAGTATTTAAGATATTAGCAAGGGCCCCTGCGCAAGAATAATTAGCATCAGTGCGCACATGTTGATCAGTCAGTTTTTTCGTTTTGCGTGCGAACTTTTTTATAAATTAACCTTTTTTAATTTAATCCTTTTATTAAGAGGAGTTTTTAATTATTTTTTTTGAAAATATTTGGTTTTATGTTTAAAAATTAATAAAATACAAATACAATTTGCCATGACACGGGCTCCCTAATTGGCGTTTTAAAATTGTTTTTTTGGAAGTTATCGAGTTGAAATTAATGTTATTTAATGGATCTCTTGGACTCTCTGCGATAGCACTAATTGTTTGCCATCAAAACTAACTATTGAAATTAGAGCAAAAAGCAAAAAATCGAGCTGTTGTTTTTTTAAGAAAGGTCATAACTCGAAAACTATGTATTTTAGGTAAAAATGGTTTGTACAAACAAATTCTACGAGTACCTATATAAGGTGTTTTTTTGTTTTCAT